CTAAGAGGAAGCACCTACGATCGGAAAGGTAAGAGTAGGCCTTTTGAAACATCATGTTGAAAAATTTGAGAAACTTGGGGTTTCGAAATAAGAAACGGAGTCACCACCAATCCATTTTACAAGAAAACTAGGCTAATTGGAATGTTGAGAGCTCGCAACAGAAGCATGATACCTAGTCCATGTTCAACCCCATCAATATATCCAGTTGGATTCCCATTCATTCAAAAGCTTAAGGCAATGAGTTATGGGCCAACTTAGATATATTGACTGCTTCACGTTATATCAATTTTCTGATATGGGACTTCATTAACACAACTCACACATTTCAACAATCTTCTCGGTGTGCTCCCCTTAATTTAGGTATCCTCAAGCATCAATATATCTCAACTTGATTCTCCATTAACGTCCAACTTCATCCTTCAAATTGAACCCGCATTGCTACACCATAATGCCCACCACCCAGAAACCGCATTGGTCACCATATTCCTTCCTTAAGATATTCATCAAACATCGGAAGATTAGGGCTCCACCAATCTACCATTGACTCTGATACCATTTGTTAGGAGCACGCAACAGAAACACGACACCTTTACCCAAGGAGATCGCTATGAGAGAACCTAAGTCTGAGCCCGTCAATAAATCCAGTTGGATCCACTTTTACGTAAAAGTTTAAGCCAATAAGTTATGGGTCAACTTGGATAATTAACTACTTTACACCACATCAATTCTCCGATGTGAGATTTCTCTAATATAACTCATACGGCTATTTCAACACGGACACCTATGCACATGTGAAGATACTGGTCATTTACAAAAACCAAATAACTGCAGTACGAGGGATTAGTTACGTGTCGGCAAGGTTAGTGTCCCCACAATTCACTTTCGGTACCATATTAAGCCCTTGAATGCAATTATCTTAATTTCCTAAAATTATAATGCAAATTTGATTTTTCGAGAGACGTAATTGGTGAAATTTCTTCGTCATTCTACGGCCAGTCACGACTCCATGTACCCTGTGTTTTTATGATTCGAAAACATGTAAAAGATGTGAAATACATGCATGAACCTTAATTTGTGAGTGTATGAGTGTGCAATATCATTTGAACATTTTGTTTAGCGATGCATGCTCAACTTTATAATTGATAGTCGTTTCATTTTTTGGCCTCGTTAGACACGGTTTTCTTTGTCCTTTTAGCTTTATACGATACTGGTTTTAAAAGCCAATTTTTTTTTTTGAGAAAGTAACTGTAATCTTTTGGGAAAAAAAACATCTTTCGAAATCATGACAATGCAAGAATTATAAAAAAAACATGATAATGGTCTTAAGAACACCACAAAATGTCATAATTTTCATACGGTGCTCACTTGAGGACCTCAACTTTTTTTTTTCGATTACTTGAGTGACATATAATTTTTTCATTGATCACTTGAGTGCTATAGCTTTCTAAAAATATTCACTCCAAGTGACATGCCACGTCAAATTTCCAGCACTTAGGTGCACACACTCATAATTTTCATGTTTTGCTTGAAGTCTCTTATCTATTTCTTCGAGCATAGCAGCTCATGCTTATATATTGAAATAAATCAGCAAAGTTTTGACCCCCGAATATCTCTCTTAAATTCAATTTTAACCCATTGAAAGCCAAATTTATAAATTCTTTTTTTTTAGGGTGAAGTGAGGTATCTCTTCCTAACCTTTTTAAATTGAGCAACAAATTAATCAACTGACTCACTGTTGTATTGGTAAAGTCTAGCCTAGTCAACAATTGATACCTCTAGTATCGTTCTATAAAATGAATAATGGAATTGTCTTTACATCTTTGCCACAATTACAAACTAAATTAGGTGGCAAATTAGTCTGTAGAGTAAAAGCGGTATTTGATAAATACAAAATAAATAACTTAAATCTAAAAAGGTAATTTGTTCCTATTTCACCACATTGGGCTATGAATCGATAAATATGTTCGACAATCGGTTATTCGTCTTTGCCAGTAAAAATGGCAAAGTCAGGAGTTTTGAAGCCTCTAGGAAAAGGCTGATTATCAACTCATTTAGGATAAAATTTCCCGTAGATAGTTCCGATGACTCCCCTGTCTATTCCTAATTGTTGTCCAACTATTTTTGGCAAACTGTTCTGGAGCCATTTGAGGATCTGGTCGCTTATGTTGCCGCCCCTTAGGTGATGCTAGTTTTGTTGGATTATCTATGTTAACATTAACTAGCAAGTTAGGCCTACGGGGAATGTATAGCACATTAGGTGATACCACTACACCTGTTGGACTACTATTTTCAATATTTGTTGCTTGAACATTCTATCGACCGGTTAGATTCACCAAATTATTGTTTCTAATTTGATTATTTTGATTACTTCCGTTATTTTGGCCTTGATTTGAGTTCTGGTTCTTTACAACAGTCTTACAGGGGTTGATAAACCTGGCCTAAATTATTTGCGTTATTAAATTGACCCATATGTACTAGGAGCGTACCCTTACGCCACAAGATACGCTTGGGATTGTCATTGTGGTTGGTTGGAATACTATGGCCTTAACATGGCATCATTGACAGTATTGATGACCAATGGGGTGATCACATCTGACATGTGATTCACAATGCAGTTAACCAGGTCATTTTGCTATTCCTCCAGCAATTTGCGTATGTTCACACCACATTGGAATTGGTGCAACTTTCCTCAACTGCTCTTCAGTGACATGTCTTGGAAGATCAGCATCTCTCGCACAATTATCTTCCACCGGTTTTCCAGCGGTTGAGGACTCAGAATGTGCAGCCATCTCATTACAAGTTGGTGGTAACAAGGTGGCTACCAGCAGCATTGTCAGCCTCTTGTTGATTCTTGGTTCTTGCCATTGCAATCTCCTCATATTCAACAAAAGTTGTCCCATAAGACATACCAAAAAGATATTTCACCAGAAAAGCAAATATCTTTTAAATATGGATTGAATTGCATTGACAAAGATTATGAAGGGTTGAACTTTGTACAGCCCCTTAAGAAGAAGAAGAGGATCACCCTTCGGCAAAGAAGAAAAAGAAAAGGCTCGAGATCCTTTTTACGAGAGATACCTAGATGGAGATTCTTCCCTAGGTTCTTTTGGTGAAGACAGTGGAAGGTACCAGTTTACGGTATCCCACGCAGTGCCTAACCCTACTCCAGTATTATCTCCAACCTCTCCACCACCACCTCCTGACCATAAGCCTAATGAACCACGAAAACCAGAGCCCCAAAAAAGAAAGCTAAAACAGAAACCCATATCCCCATTTTACAAACCCATTTACAAGTAGATTAGGAAGAAAGTAAATGGCCAGAAATTAAAACTGCAGGAAAGATAAATTTACCAGAAATTTACATGTAAAGATAAATTATGAAAAACATTGAATTATGTGATTAACTGGCCGAACCTTTACAAAGAGTACAATGTAGTTATTTATAGCCTATTATTGACGGTTGTATACAAGCAGTTATTGATTTTGAATACATTGGCAACTTTGTAATCCTATCTACAATTACAATAAATTACAAGTAATAGAGACGACCTCCTATTATTTAGTAATGATTATGTACAAGTAGTTGCCAATCTGGAGAATGCTGGCTTAATCACCTAGTAGTTATGTACTCTTGTCGATCCACTATCTTTTGATATGTTGGCAGGCCATTGCTTGTTAACTGCACCATTCCTACACTTGGCCAAAATCCGGGATAGCATGTTATTGATGACCTTGTCGATCAACTTCTCTTGGGTCCTGGTGAGGGCTCTTGTCGATGATTCACACCATTTGATATCGATTCTCTTCATTATTGACAAGCTCATATCGTGGACCGATGACTTCTATCCTGACCAAACTTTATTCTTATCGACCGAGCCTGCCACTCATTGATTTTAGGAGTTAGTTATTTGAGTGTTAATACCTTCTAATCGCCATCCAGGGCGTCGTACACCGTCCTTGGCCATTCATCGGGCAACTTACTTGTAGCTCTCCCTTCCTCCCTCTCCCTCCTTTTATTGTTACGTTCATTGACCCGATTAGTACCAACATGATAGTTCACATCAAGATTTTAATCCAAAATGATTGACATAAAAAAAGAAATTCACAGTTTAGGGCTTCAAATGAAAAAGAAATCAAAGACAACATTGAAACTTGATGAAAGTTAGAATTCGCAGTGGCATTATCCTTTTTTTTTGTTTCTACAAAATAAAGATGTTTAAGATTTTTTTGAACACTTAACTAATTCTCATCGAAAATTGGACATCATGCCTCATCTATCTAGGTCTCATTGCAATTCCATCCTGTCTTTCCATATCTGGCGATTAACACCCCAACGGCTAAGCTCATTTCATATAGTTACCCCAAATAACTAAAATCCAAGGGGAAAATACTTTAGCCAATAACCTTTCACTGTCAAGAAAGTTATATTTTCCTCTCCATCCTCTAAATTCCACATTAATCTCCTTCTGAAACAAACAAAAAAAATTAGAAAATGACACGAATAGTCCCTGAACTTTGGCCCAATGTACAATGCGGTCCCTAAACTTTTAATTTGTTGAATGTGGTCTTTGAACTTTAATCCAATGCGCAATATCGTCCCTAAATTTTTAATTCGTTCGATGTGGTCCCTGAACCTTTGATACATGTTCAATCTAGTCCCTAGACTATATGAAAATATTCAATATTTGTTCCCTGAACTTGAATGAATAGAAATATGACACTAGACATTTTCATATAATCTGGGGACTAGATCGAACATTTACCAAAAATTCAGGGATCACATCGAACAGATCAAAAAATTCAGGAACCACATTGAACAAATCGAAAGTTTGGAAACTATATCGCATATCGGGCCAAAGTTCAGGGATCATTTGTGTAATTATCTCTAAAAAAAAATTTATAAAAAAATTGCAAGAAAATAGCGAATAATGCCTACTCCAGAAAAAAAGGCAATAATACTGTGCACTCTGCATAACCACTGTAGCCACGCTGTGCTGTATGTAACCGCAAATAACCTCTCCTTCTCTCTCTCTCTTTCTCCCGCTGATTTTGGCGGCACTGAAAGCGCCTTCTCCTCTCCATATCCATCACTCCCCCACGATTACATCTCCCTCTGTCAATCCCGTCAACGTTGATTTAGCGCCAAATCTCCCCACGATCTCTTCTTGCTCGGGAGGAGATTCTTCTCCTCCCTCCCTATAGAGCTGTACAAGGAAAGACAAGTGAAGCAGCCCGAAAAAGACCAGGCGGAGAAAGAAAAACAAACTAAAGGAAAGAGAGAAGAATGGGCCGCGACGATGGCTCCGACGTTGTCTCCCTCCTGTGCCAAGAGGACGAAGCATTCCTCGCCGCTCACGACGATGACCACCACTGCCACCGCCCCCGCCACCACGAGTGCACCGACCCGACCCAGTTCTTCGTTTTCGGCGACGAGGACGAGTACTTCCAGAAGCTCATTCGGCAGGAGGCCCGGGACCCTGCGTTCTCGCTCAGCTGCTCCTCCTCCTCCTCCTCCTCTGCCCCTCGCAGCCTCTGGCTCAAGCGTGCTCGGACCAGTGCCATTGATTGGATTTTTGATGTCTCTCTCTCTCTGCCTCTCTCTGTCTGGATTGTTTTCTCTTAAAGTTGACCGCTTTATGGTCGTTAACGCCATTGCTAAAAGAAAAGTGTCTGCGTTTTGCAGAGAAGGGAATCGTTCGGATTTCACTTGCACACTGCCTATCTGTCCATCACTTACCTCGATCGGTTTCTTGCAATCCGCTCCATAGCCGTAAGCGAACTCCTTATTTTTTTTCGTTTTGAGTTTTGCCAACGAGTGCTTGTCGATGCTTCCGAAATCCGAACATTTCGTATCAGTGTGGTCTCTAAGTAGCTATAGACGAGACCCTTTTTGTGTCTCGTCTTTTTTTTTGGGTCTTCTGGTTTTGATGAATCTGATTCTGAATGATGTTTATCTGGGATTGTCGGATTCTTTTTGAAGGACGGGAAGTTGTGGGCTGTGCGATTGCTGTCGCTGGCGTGCTTGCTTCTGGCGGCAAAGATGGAGGAGTACAGAGTCCCTGCAATATCAGATTTCCAAGCTCAAGATTTTGTTTTTGAGGGCGAAATAATTCAGAACACGGAGCTCTTGATCTTGAAGACGCTCGAGTGGAAATTGGGTTCAATCACTCCCTTCTCTTATCTGCACTACTTGGTCCTTAAATTCCACGGCCAATCCAGAGAGAGGGAGTTTTTCTTCACTGCCATGGAGCTCGTTCTTGCACTTTCAAAAGGTAACAGAAAGTTAGTCTAAGCTGTGAAATTAAGCATTTTGCGTATATTGATTGATGTGTGTGTATTCATTCTTCTTACACCGTGTATTTATGTATTCGTATTCAATTTATGTGCCAGAGATTAATTTGGTGGATTATAGACCATCTGTTATTGCTGCTGCTGCAGCACTATCATCATCTTCTGATGCTGAGTTGAGTAGAAAAGCAATGGAACTTAAAACAAGTAGAATCTCATCATGGGATTCTCAAGATAATGTGAGTTTGTGCAAAATATGCTGTCCCTTCCCTAATGAATCATTGTTAATTCTGATAGTAGTCTCTTAAATCTCACTGCAACAGGAGCACATATTTGCCTGTTACAATCTTATTCAGGGAATAATGAAGCAGGAAAAACTCAAGACTCCTCAAACAATTTCTCACAGAGATGTTCTGAGAAGTGTTTCATCATCCTTAACCTATGCCAGTGGCATCAAGAGATTGCTTCCATTCGATGACAGTGATCAGAACTGTCCTGTGAAGAAAAAGACCAGAAGGCAATAGTTTTGTGTGGTATTGGGCAAGGTTATTGCTTTAGGGGATGATGATTACAGGTCTAATGAGTGTTTAAAAATCCCAAATTCAATAGCATGATTGGATTTGATGGCTCGGGGGTCTTCATTTTCCAATACCAACAACAGAGAAAAAGAAGAATTTTCTTCAGCCAGTGAAAGCCAAGCAGCTGGAGGAAAAGACAGTATATAATTAAAAAAAGATTAAAACTTTTTCAGAGAGAGAGAGAGAGAGAGAAGCAAGAAGATGACATGAAGTTCAGAAGAGAGACCAAGGAGAGTGGAAGAAAGAAGCAGCCAATTAATCCTAATTTGTCTATATTCATGCTAGACGTAGCAGCTTGCTTAGAATGCTGCTACTTGCTTTAATGCCCAGTTTGGCATTTTGTTTCATTTTGATTTTGTTTACCATGAAATTGTTTGGTCGGTAGTGATTGAGCAGTGTAGAACCCTAGCAAAAGTCCCTACCTTTTGATGGGAGCTTGGGATGCTTCCTTGTGTCTTTCAAAAGGCTGAAAGCCATGAGGGAATGTGTTGTTTGTTTTTGCTTGATTTGACACATTTGTGTTGAGTTTGGGCCAATAAAAAAGCATGGGATGTTGGATGTGATTGGATATTTGCTTGGAATGTTGGAGTCTTTGCTTTTTATGAGTGGCTTCACCTTTTTCCCATTAAGTTGTAGTCTAGGAGCCTATAAAGATCAACCTCCCCTACCCCCTCCACCAGATGGGTCACATGTCATTGCAACCTTATCAATGTGTCTAGATCTCATAATTATCTTCTAGGCATGGGGAATGAGGAAGATGGTTTATGTTTGTTTAGCATATTTATCTTCTTCTTAATGTTGGAATCATGTTTTTATGTTTTGGTCAAGAATTTCTTTTTAGTTTGGGGAAAAGGTTTGCTCTAAAAGAGTCACCAAACCACAACCGAAGGACTTAGGACCCTTAATAAGTCCACGAAACCAAATGAGGCAATGAATTTTCTATAGAATTTGAATGAAAATAAATCGGCATGGATACCGGAATACTTGAAAGATAAGATGGCGCTCCGGATGAATGTGCTCTGAGCTTAGTTAGTATGTCAGCATGGCACATTGATTCGCGTTCACGGTCTTAGACTCTTTCGCAATTGGAAAACTTTGCTTCTTTATGTATGTTAACGCCACAAAATCAAAGATTGTGAGGTGGTACGTTTATGATGAGCTAACGTGATTAGCACTTCATAGAGAGGCCTTAAAGCAAATTTACAATCACACTATAATTTAACATTTGCACCAAAAATTGAGTTCCAAAAGATTTTGCGCCTCTTTATTATTTTGGTTCCACAATGACATCAAATAAATAAATAAAAATTAAACCTAGGCCTTGGTTTTCCCACGAATGGTAGATAAATATAGTGACATCTTTAGTTCCCTCAACTGGTGCTCGCGGGGGCCCTCCCTATGATTCATAAAAGTTGGAATGTGTCAGAAGGTCCAATACTCCACATGCCTTCATGGGACGGGTGGGGCTTACCTAGATTAGGGTTTAGATGGATAGGGTCAATCAGAATTCATCGTGTATCTCATAGCAATCAATTGAATTTTTTTTTTATCACGAATGACCTGATATTCTCACGACAAATTATATTTGATAAATCCACTTGTTTTTAAAGGAGAAAACATTTATATGGATCATGAGTCCGTGGATCGCATGAGGTCACGATCATTGATTATATGAGACCCATTTGATTAATATATGTAATCAATTCGATCCCTGACAATTTAGGTTAGACGGTGTTTTACTTGGCAATCATGTTCTTTGTGTCCACGGAAAAAAAAATTTAGAATTTTGACCTATTCTACATATGATATGGTAAACAACGTTATTCACACTTTATAAATGGTATAAGAACTTGTGTTTTAAGGCCTCACTGTCTCCGAATATTTAATCGACTTAATCCGTTAAATTTAAGTCTAAGCATATCCGTGGCACCAACAAAGTTATTGATTGGGTTGCGAAGGCCCAAAGAAGAAATAGCTGGCCACAAAATTGGACTTCCGATCCCGCTGCGGCCCTTTGGGAACTCCTTTGTTCTGAAGCTTACATATGTGTATTTGCAAACTTCATCCTAATGAAATGAAAGTGAATTTCTGACCCAAAAAGGGGGGGAAAAACTTGATTAAGGTTACCAAAGACCATACCTTCAAATCAAGGACACTATTATGCAAGAAGTAATATATTTTAAAGTTCCTTAATTTAGTTCTTCATAATGCTACTTCACCAATTCTTTTTTAGTGAAACTTTGGGTTAAAAAGTAGGAACCTTTCCTTGGATGAATTGTATAGAAGCCCTCGCAGTGATTGCTTTTGCATTGTTTGCGCAGTCAGCTTAGGTACTTCGAAGTTACTGATTTTTGTAAAAGTACAAATTAAATAATTAAGTTACAATACGCTGCAACTGTTAAATTATTAGCCTTACTATCATATAAAATAAAGAAAATCTCCCACTTTTGAGAGATCACAATCTTTTTTCCCCCAAATATCCTCAATTAGTTAATTCTATTTAGGGATGAGCGGTTCCCGGTTCGATCTGGTCCAACCCAAGAACCGGGAACCAGACCGGGAGGACTGGTTCCCAGTTTCTAGGACCGGGGACCAGATCGGCTAATATTGGGACCGTGGACCGGACCGGACCATCGGTCCGGTCCGGTTCCAATGGGACCAATTGGTGAAGGAAGAGGGAACCAGGAAGCATTTTCGGGACCAATATATGAAAGCATTTTTGGGTTGGTCCCATTGGAACCGAATAAAAATGAACTATCAAATGCTTCTTTTATTATTTAAATATATATTTAAAAAGTAAATAAATATATATATATGAAAAAATTAGAAAAATATATATTTATCGGTCCAGTCTTGTCGGTTCGGTCCGGTCCGGTTCCCACCCTAGAACCGGGAACCGGACCGCCTAGAAACCGATTCCACTTTTAGGAACCGGGAACCGGACCGATATTCCCGAGAACCAGACCAAACCGGTCGGTCCGGTCTAGTCCTGATTTAGGCGGCCCATCTTGCTCATCCCTAATTCTATTAATGAATAAATTAGTGCATTGATAACTCTATGTATTTTTATTTCTCACGTGTTTCAATTTTGAAATTCCAATTTGTTCCATCTTATGAACTACATTCAAACTATGAAATATTTTCATATGTACTTCTTCATATCGTGTCAATAGCTTCTTTTCGTTCATTAATAATTTATATATGTCGTAATAACGTGATTTTGCACAATCTTTTGAAATGTCAATAATGTGCATACATGCAATGCACGCGCATGCTTTGGCTATTGTTCAATGCACGATCAACATGTTGAAAGATCTTTAGAGGTATAGCAAATGTGAAGAAAAAAATGCATAATAAAGCACAAAAGAAAATGCCTCGGCAAAATGGCGAAAATAAACACAGAAAAAAAGAGAGGGAAAATGACATAAATGATCCATGAACTTTGATTTAATGTGCAATGTGGTCCATGAATTTTTAATTTGTTTAATGCGATCTCTAAACTTTAGCTTAATGTGCAATGTGATCCCTGAACTTTCGATTTGTTCAATATAGTCCATAAACTTTTAGTACATATTCAATTTAGTCTTTTAACTATATAAAATGGTTCAATATTGTCTTTAAACTTGAATTAATGGAATGACATTATTGAATTAATGAGGATGTATATATGGTACACCCCAAGGATTTGTAGATACAACAAGGCCACATCATGTCTGTCGTCTCAGGCGTTCTCTTTATGGCCTCAAGCAAGCCTCTCGAGCCTGGTACCAACGACTTAGCTCCTATTTAATTGCTCTTAGATTTCGGATGTCAGAGTGCGGACTCTTCATTATTAGTTCTACATACACGTCACTATAATATGATACTCCTTGTGTATGTTGACAATATCATCCTCACAAGTTCTCCTCACGTTCCATTTACAAACCTCCTTAGTGCTCTCCAAGCCAAATTTGCTATCGAAGATTTGGGTTTCCTTCATTACTTCCTTAGTGTTGAAGTACAGTTCACTTCTGATTGCCTCATCCTTCATCAGGCCATGTTTACACATGACATTCTAGCTCGCTCCAAAATGACCAATGCTCAGGCTATTTCCACACCGTGCACCACCGATGAGCCCTTTTCTCTCCACCATGGAGACCCTCTCCCGAACCCTCTATTTTTATCGAAGTATTGTTGGTAGTCTACAATATTTAACACTTACACGACCATATATTGCCTACTCCGTCAATACTGCATGTCAATTCCTCCATGCCCCTACCACAACCCATTGGCAATCAGTGAAGCGCATCCTACGCGCTATCTTGTAGACACTTTTCGATTTGGTATTTTGTTTACTCGCGGTTCATCTACAACTCTCCATGCCTTTTCAAATGCAAGCTGGGCTAGTAATCGTGACGATCGACGCTTTGTTGGAAGTTATTGCATTTTCCTTGGTCGTAATCTTATTTCTTTGAGCTCTCGCAAATAACGAACTGTGGCACGTTCCAGTATAGAAGTTGAATATAAGTGTTTGGCGGATACAATTGCAAAACTTATGTGGATTGAATATCTCCTGAAAGATCTAAATGCTCTTCCACCACATCTATCTACTCTTTGGTGTGATAATTTATCATCATTGTACCTGATTGCAAACCCTGTTTTTCATGCTCGCACAAAACATGTGGAGATTGACTATCATTTTATTCGTGAACGACTAGCTCGTGGGCAGCTCTATCTTCACTTCATTTCATCTGTTGATTAGTCTGCTGAAATTTTCGCCAAAGGACTCTCCTCTGCACATTTTCGACTTCTACGATCCAAGTTGACGATTCGTGCCACCCCGTCAGTTTGCGAGGGGATGTTGAACAAGTCAAAGTTATTTCCACCAGAATCGATTTAGCGAGAAACTTCCAGCTCCTCTCCATATCTATAACTCTTTATCTATAACTTATTCAATTTTATACAAACTTCAACTGAATTTTGTTATGCAGATTCTCTACAAGTTTATATAAACCCACAATCTCTTTGTAAATCATTAACGGGAGAAATCAATACAAAGCATTAATTAAAAATCTCTCTTTCTGCTCTTTGCGTTATCTATCTCTCTTTTATTGTTCATAGTTTAAACTTCTCCTTTATTCCTCTGTACTTTGGTTCTTCCTTTCTCTCAGGGTCCTAATCTTTATATTATTAGGTTGAACATATACCAAAAGTTACGGGACTACATTGAACAAATTAAAAGTTCAGATATCACATTGCAGATTGGTTTAAAGTTCAGGAGCCACATCGAATAAATTAAAAGTTTAGGGACCATATTGTAAATTGGGCCAAAGGTCGGAGATTATTTGTGTCATCATCCCAAAAAAAGAAATAATAGCTTAGGAATACTTAAAGCCTAGAGCAAATTTCGAAAAGACAAATGGTTACCTTTTCCTAGATGGTAAAAATTTGCTTTCTCTCCGAACTTGCATGTTTTTTTTTTGGGTTAATACCACGAAAAACCCTAAACTGGTACACTTGTGACACATTTACCCCAAACTATTTTTTTGACCATAAAAAGCCTCAAACTGGTACACCTGTGATAATTTTACCCTGAACTATTTTTTTGACCACCAAAAACCCCAAACTAGTACACCTGTGACAATTTTACCCTGAACTTACCACAAAAAACCCAAAACTGGTACATATGCGACAATTTTACCCTGAATTAAAATTTTAATATTATTTTTTATTTTTTTCAAATTTTTATTTATTTTTTATTCTTTTCTTTTTTTTTTCATCTTCAAACCTTGGCCGGTCGCCGGTCCGGCGACCGGCCAGAGGCGGAAGCCGGCGAGGGCCGTCCTCGCCCGCCCAGGGCAAGGGCGACTCTCGCCCGACTCAGTGCGAGGGCCGCCCGCCGGCTGCCGGCCGCCCTCGCCTCGGGACGCCGGATTCTGGGCGAGGGCGACCCTCGCTGCTGCTGGCGAGGGCCACCTCGCCCGAGCCCGGGCGAGGGTCGCCCTTGCCCTGGGCAGGCGAGGACGGCCCTCGTTTGACGCAGGCGAGGGTCGCCCTCGCCGGATCCGGTGAGGGCAGCCCTCGCCCGATACCGACGAGGGTCGCCCTCGCCGGCTTCCGCCTCTGGCCGGTCGCCGGAGGTTGAAGGTGAAGGAAAAAAAAAGAAAAGAAAAGAAAAGAAAAAAGAAAAAATTCAAAAAAATAAAAAAATATTAAAAATTAGTTCGGGGTAAAATTGTCACATGTGTACCAGTTTAGGGTTTTTTGTGGTATGTTTGGGATAAAATTGTCACATGTGTACCAGTTTGGGGTTTTTTATGGTCAAAAAAATAGTTTGGGGTAAATGTGTCACAAGTGTACCAGTTTAGGATTTTTCGTGGTATTAACCCCTTTTTTTTCAATTATATCACTAAATTTTTATTTTGTTCAATTTAATCCTTAAACTTGCATAACTTTCCCAACCAAGTTCCTCAGACCTTGAATCCGGTTTAATTGGAGCTGATCCATCGGAGGGGACGGAGAATAATATGATGCAGAAAAACTTTATGCCACCGTTGACTACTAATTGACGTATGGACCGAAAATCTCGAAGGTGAGGACCATAACCAAAACACGAGTAATGGAATTTTCCAACATGGAGACGGCACTCGAGCTTTCCACGTCAAAAATTCTTGCCGAATACAAAGACTATGTCGGCTATAATTAATTATATTAGGTGTTGGAAGGGATTCAATTAGAATAGTTACACGTGAGTTTGAGGACTTGATTAGATAAATTAAAAGAAGAAGAAACAATGGAGCAAAATGTGCAAGTTCGGGGCCAAAAGCAAAAGTCTTTTCCTTTTCAAGTTCGTCGTCATCAATTTGTTCGTTCCTTTGATAAAAGGGATAATGACATAAATGGTCAATGTACTTTAACTCAATATGTAATGCAATTACTAAATTTTTAATTTGTTCACTACGGTTTATGAACTTTGATTCAATATACAATGCAGTTCATAAACTTTTAATTTGTTCAATGTGATTCATAAACCTTTGATACATATTCAACTTAGTCCCTGAATTATATGAAAATGTTTAATGTTTTAATGTTATCATTTTTGAACATTTTCATATAGTTCAAGGAGTAAATTGAATATGTACCAAAAGTCAAAGGATTACATTGGACAAATTGAAAATTCAGAGATCACATTACGTATTGAGCTATATTTTAGAGATTATATTGAATAAATTAAAAGTTCGGAGATCATATCACAAGTTGGGTCAAAGTTCAGAATCGTTTGTGTCGTTTTGATAAACCCAGCCAAAATTCAAAAAGCGAGAGACCTCTCCATTTTCCCTCTCTCTCTCTCTCTCTCTCTCGCTCCTTCGCCGATGGAGAAGCGGCTCCGCTCCGCCCTCAAATCCTCGCCGGAAGACTTCCTCTCCGCCGTCGCCAACCTCAGCCTCAAATCCTCGAAGCCCGCCCTCAAATCCATCCTCCACTCCCAGCCCCTTCCTCTCTCCTCCTCCTCCTCCGCCTCGCCGTCGCTCCCTCTCTCTCTGCACCGCGCCATCTCCCGGTCCGTCGCCTCCCTCGACGGCCTCCTCCGCGGCCCCCCCGATGCCGACCCCGGAGGCGACCTCCTCGCCTCCCCTCCCCCGAAGCGCCCCCGCCGCTCCTCCCGCCTCTCCGAGCCCCGGGGCGGCGGCGGCGGCCCCGACCCCCCCCCGCCGCCCAGCCTCGGCCGCCGGAAGCAGGAGCTCCTGGAGAGGCTCCGGGTCCTGGCGCACGTGGCCCGGCTGTGCGCCTCGGCCGCCGCTCCCGGGGTGTGCCCGGCGGGCGATCTGCTGCCGTCGGCACGGGCGCTGCACGATAATCTGGTTCTCTTCGAGTCGGACTCGGTGTTGTCCGGGGAGATCGTGGGCTTGTGTGAGGAGTGGTGGAAGGGCGATCTGCCCGGGAGGGAGAATTTGATCTCGCAGTTCCTGCCGTTCCTTGTGTCGAGGTCCTTGACTCTGAAGAAGAAGGTCGACGTGAGCAGGGTTTACGCGATGCGCGATGCGTTCGGCTTGTTCGATTTTGAGGATGACAGCATCGAGGACTTGAAGATGTTGCTGATTCGGTGTGTGATCTCGCCGTTGTATTTGAAGACCGAGGAAGGGAAGCGATTCGTGGCGTTCATGTTTGGGCTGAGCAGGCAGCTTGTGAAGGAGGTTTTGGCGATGATTAAGTCGCAGATTCCCTTCGGGAGGAAGTCGATGTTGGAGGCGTATGGGGATATACTGTTCAGGGCGTGGAATGCTGCGGAGGGAGATTCAAAAAACGAGATTGAAAACGGGTTTTTGCAGGGTTTAATCGAAGGGGCGATACACTCGAGTTCCACGGCACTTGCGACATCGATCAGAAGAGTCTTGGGTGGGTTTATCAATCAGCGAACTGTTGATGGCGTCGAGAAGGTCCTTTTCCGTTTGACCGAGCCAGTGCTTTTCCGCTCGCTACAGGTATTGTCAGATTATGGATGAATTTATTGCAAAAGAAAAGGACAAATTTTGTGGGTTTGATCGATAGGAATGAATGATCCGATGATGCTATCTACATACAGATACAGAGGTTTTCCCTTTTTCTGATATCATTTGATACTGATTGCATCCATAGTTATCTTGGTTAGAGGTGAACAAACAAGAGTTTGATGCTGGCACAACTAGGAAGAGTTTGTGGCATGTGTCGAACCAGCATTTAGGTTGGTTATGTTTGGGCAGACTGCTGTTTATATCCATTGGTCAGTGAAAGGTGGATCAGTGGCCCTCCTTTAGTTGGTAGTCTTTGTAGTTGTGTGATACCAATTAAAACTGAACAAACTGGGGAGTTGGAACAAAATTTTTTTTTCCTTAGTCAGTTCGCCGATGCAATGTCTGAATGTTTACACTTGCCATGACAGGTCGCAAACTCAGATGTTCGACAGAATGCACTGCACTTACTGCTGGACGTGTTCCCTCTAGAAGATCCAGATGCCACTAAAGAGGTTAAGGACAGCTTACTTGACAGACAGTTCTATTTGTTGGAAAGACTGCTCAAGGATGATTGTCCCGACGTAAGAGTTGTTGCAGTAGAAGGTTGTTGCCGCATCCTTAATCTGTTCTGGGAAGTTATTCCTTCATCTACCATCACCAAGATTATCACAAGGATTTTTGATGACATGGCGTATGACAACTGCAGTGAAGTTAGGCTTTCCACTATAAATGGAGTCGCGTATTTGCTTGGTAATGCACAGTCACATGAGGTTCTTAAAGTGCTACTACCAAGACTCGGGCATCTGATTACAGATTGTACTCTTTCTGTGCGAGTTGCACTAATTGAACTTCTCCTCCTCACTAGAGATATTCGATCCTTTCAGTTCAATAAGGTTGAAGTGCCATCTCCTATCTATTCTGTGTTAAGATAATGCAATCTTTTATTGTTTGGCTGGTTTTGTTTCTTATTCACACTTATGTTCTATAGGTGGTAACACTAGAAGCACTATTGTCCACGCTTGCAACTGATCAGGCACAAGTTGCACAAAAGATCACAAGATTGCTTTTGCCATCATATTTTCCCTCCAAAGTAACTTTTGAAGAGGCATGTAATCGATGTGTTACGCTTATTAAGAGGTCGCCCAAGGCTGGAGCAAGGTTTTGTGAGTATTCTGCCTCGGAAGGTGCACCATTGAAGTCTCTTATGCAACTTTTCAAAGTATTTATCAGTTTTGTCTTGTCAACCAATAAGCTGAATGAAGATCAGATTGAGGGTCTACTTCATGCTGCTGCATACATTTGTAAGCAACTTGTTGGTGAGCCATCATACAAGGATGCCCTGAAGGAAATGTTTGCAAATGACAAGCTGAGGTGCTTATTTGCTGCAGCACCAACTGCGCATGCTCAATCTTCTGTTCTCAATATCGTCTCTGCCATCTCCCCAGATGATGTGTCAGGGCTCATTGAAGAATGTGGGCGCCTAGTCATGGACTGTATTGGCATATGTGAAAATGAAGAAAGACAATCTGAAGTAAGAAGTGCCCATAAGTTGTTGCTCTCTTATGATCGATGCGGTGATATGTTTGACGCTTTCTCAAAATTGCTGCAAAATGCTGCTTTCCATTGCCATAAGAATTTTGGCATTGATATGTCAGAGAAGCAGAGTATTTCCTCTTCAAAAAGGAAAAAAAGTCAGTCATCACTGAAAAATTTAACTAAAAAGAGAAGTGTCAGCCAGCAGACACCATCGAGCTTTGAGGATGGCTATTTGGCTGCTGTAGGAGTAGCCTGGCAAATAAAAGACTTGCTTGGATGTGAGGACTCTCGGAAGGCTATGTTGGCTTCTTCATCTTGTGAACTGATTCTTAATACTCTAAAGGTTATTGCCACAGCCAGCATTGTGGAGTGTGTGAATGTTGAATACATGAGCATATACCCTCTCTTGGCATATACAACTTTGGTGCTGCATATGGCCTCGGCAGATCTTAGCCTGAGTAGTTCACAGAGCTCTCGCAACAGGACATATAGCACATCTGACCCTTCAAGAGCAGCGATAGAGGTAAAAATCTTTCTTTTTATAAGTGACTCATAATGACTATCATTAGTAGGAAGTTCACTTTGGACAAAATGGTGATGATGATTATGTACTATTTGTTCATCGTGGTTTCTGGTCCATCTGCATGATAGGTTTCTGCCTTTCTCTCACTTTTCCTATATACCAGCCTTCTCATTCTGTCCTTGTTAGCATCAGTTAGGGAAAATAAAATGTAAACCTAGAATTGTTTACCAGGCACTATGCCTACATTGTGATACTGACTGATGACCAATTTTAAGGTGTGCCAAATGCCAATTTTCTCACAATCAGCTTATAACATGTGAAGAACCTGTGTAGGTGCTTGGCTAATTATCATGCTTTATTAGGTTATGGATCAGTTGCTAAATTGTGTGGAGAAGCTGCTCAGAGCTGGTGGTCCTGTTAATCCTGCCTCAGGACAAAAAGAGAAGGAACCAGCAACAGATGCCTCTAAACCAAGCGATACTGGTGAGTGTGTGGAAGGGCATAAGAGAAAAAGGTCCTTTATTCTAATTATCTGATATCATGCGAATTTCCCATTTATTCATATTCTTGTAAAGTTTAACTTGTAATGTGCATGAAGCAATAGTAATTAGCTTATAGTTTGCAACTGTGAATACTTTCACAATTCCCTCTAATCATTTGGATGGTAGTGTTGCTTAAATTAAAATTCTCTAGGTGTGGATGGAAATGGTAGCATCTGCTTATCCTGCTTTTGCTGGCGAAGGCGTAATCCTTGTTATCATGAGATGCTCTTCATCAACTCATGCCGCTTTTATCTACAGAAGGACACTTACTGTCGGTTAAGTAGGTTTGGTGGTTTTGTTCATCTAAACTGCCAAGACATTCTGAGTCGAGGAAATCTCAGAAGGGTTACTTTTGTTGGCATGATTTAGTTCCTGATCTAAAGAAGATTAGGACATAGATGAACAGCATATGTCTCCTTTTGGTCACCTTACTGGACAACTGGGCCTTGGTTAGCTGATTTTTCTTCTTTTGGGCTGACAGTATTGCTTTGACCCGAGGACTTCCCTCGTAGAGTGGCGTCAATGAAGTACACTGTTTGAAATGTCACAATTAGAAAAAGTAACTGCACAATCACTTCGAAGTAACCTCTATGGGATCATCTCAGTGGCAAGGTCATTGTATGGTTACAGCAGATGTTTGGCATGTGCTTCGATTGGCAGCTAATGTTTTATTTTTGTGACATCATTCCAGGCTCTCTACAATCAACGGGAAAAAGGATATCCAGAAAGGTGACAATGCTAACTGCAATTTTCAAGTTCATAAGTGATGCCATAACCTTGAGATTTTATTCTGGCAATTATGGGAGATGCTTACACTACGCATCAGCAGCCGTTCGACAGATTATCTCAGATTTAGCGCAACTATCTAGCTACTCATTGCATTTTACAGAGGATGACATGAAAGAAATAACCATGTGTCTGAAGAGCTCCTTCACTTACATGGTAAAATTGCTTAATCTAGTCCTTACAGACACCAGCGAAGCTTCAAAAGTTCAGTTGGAAATCTTTGATCTAGCCAATCATTTGGTCGATCTGATAATTAGCGTCGAGTTATCATTGGGATACGGATGCGCCATGCGTCTTATTGCAGCAGCAAAACCATGGCTGCCCGATTTGGTTGTGGCCCTGGGATCCACATATGTGCTGAACAAGATCCATGGAGATATTTCTCTAACCATGTCAGATATTTCAACCCATTTTCCATCATGGCCTTCGGTTGTAGCAAGAATGGAAGTAGATGAACTCTCTGAAGATTGTTCTGAAGTGGAGGATGAGAGCATCTCACAATCCGAGAAGTACCCAGCATTTAAAAAGGTAATGCGAACGGTAGTCGTTCTGCTGAAAGCAAATGCTAATCTACTTGATGCAGTTGGGATGATTTTCTTGGCTGGTTCAGTGATTGGGCTCGAGAGGGATAATGACGGCCTTGTGTTGGGACTCTTGCACTTTGTGACTGCGAAGCTAGTTGGGCAGGAAAATCGACATTGGGATCGACTTGATATGATGTTGGCTTCTCTTGATCAAATCTATCTTGCCATAGAGAAAAAGCTTGGAGAACAAATTTCAGGGTATAGACAGAACCAATTGAATGCCGCTCGGGCTTTGCTTGAACCTGTCTGGATGAATAATCACAGCTTTGAAAGTGGTAGACTTCCTGAGATGGATGAACAATAGCCGGGGCGTATGCGCAACTTGTACAGATAACTACTCTTGGTCTACAGACTTGGGGGAAGTTTGTCAAATTGTAAGGCGGATAAGATACCCAAATCTTATGAGAATTTTGTTGTCGTATTCAAGCTAGTAAACTTCTCGTTTATCGCTTCCCCCGTATATGCCCTTGCGTGTTAATTTTCAATAGTTTCAAGATGGTAGATTTCTGCCAGAGGGTATTTCGATATGAGTATCTTCCTCCCGGATGGTGTTGGAGATGGATCGATCGCCCGGCCGCCTGCTTATGGAGTTAACTAGAGAAGATTGGAAAGCATCAACAGATCAATTATCGAACCTTGTTTCTCGGTTTCAGTGAAAATTCTCCTGGCACTCTTATAACACGATGACATCACATGAGATCTGGACATGGTACATTAACAATGTGAGGTTGAACATGCTTTTCATAAGGGCTACAGTTGTGACCAAGAAGGACAATCCTAACACTAACAGCCGTATCTTCAAGCAGCTTATATAAATCAAGCTGTCTTGCTCACGCACTTCAAAAAAATCCACCAAAGATTTGGATACATCAATAAGACAAGCAGGGTTGGGTCTTGTTTACATGTCAATCCCACTAAACACATGGTCTGTAGCAGCAATATCATATTCCAGAAAGAGACCCATCATGAAACACGTTGAAGCTCCACAATATCACATCATCAATCAGTCCTCAATCATACAACTCTGTGTGCAGTGCACGTTGGAATGGCTATAATCAACCTAACTTTCAATCATCGTCCAGGGTTGCTAATTCAAAATAGCTTGTTGATTCGTAACTTAAGCGTCTAAATATACGATTAGGGATCTGATGGGCCAGCTAAATTGCTTCCTATGGAGCATTGACCTGATTACACATATCCAAGTAATTGTCCATTAACAAATACTAGCTAAGGAGACAAATTTGAGGTTGCAAGAATTGAGAGAGAGAGAGAGAGAGAGAGAGAGAGAGAGAGGAGAGAGGGGTTGGTGGAGCAAGTGGGTTCAGACAGGGGTTAATGTAGAAAGCGGCTTACATTAAATTGTGGCACTAACCGTTGCATTGAGTGAGACAGTCAACATTCCCTTGGGCATTACTTGAAATATCAAGGGTAGCTTCTTTTAATGGTAACCATGGCCTGTTTTTTTTTTTGGTAAGGTACCATGGCCTGTTTTTTAAAGGGTTAATATCACGAAAAATTTTCAGCTGATACATTTGCGATAAATTTACTTCAAATTAATTTTTTGATCACACAAAAACTCCAAACTGATACACCCGTAATAAATTTACCATTCGTTAATTTCTGTTAAATCTTACCGTCAAATTGCTAGGTTGGATGACATGTGGTAATTGATGGGTGTATCAGTTTGGGATTTCATTCTCCATTTGTCACAGGTTTACCAGTTTGTCATTTTCGTGGTATTAATCCAATTTAATGGAAACTAAGGAGAGGAAAATTTGTCACAAATGTACCAGTTTAGGATTTTTGGTGGTAAAAAAATTAGTTTGGGATAAATTTATCACAGACGTACCAGTTTGAGGTTTTTTATGGTCAAAAAATCAGTTTGGGATAAAATTATCACATGTGTACCAGTTTAGGTTTTTCGTGGTATTAATCCTTTTTTAAATAGGATTTTATTAACGAGTACTCTAAAAATGCTTTGTTAAATATTCATATATTAAATGTTTTCCAATTTCGAAGCATAGATGACAAGACCCCTTTAGACGTAAGGAAAAGATATTATTGATATTTCGAGATTAAGTTGTTTCAATAACGAAGCCGTAGTTGCGACGTTATTTTATAAACTCGATATTCTCATATAACCATAAGGTCTGTACGCATAAAACTTGTAGGTATGTGGAATATTTCGAACGCTAAGCCGATGAGATAGATTCAGTTTCCAATTCTCCATTATGAACCTATTCGACATTGTTGGTGAAAGAACTTTTATTTTTACGAGACACAGTTTTCAAACCTTTTAATTCTAATCCTCAGGCACGAATCCATTTACGAACATCAGATAACGCTCTATCTACATTGTGGCGAAAGTGGCCCTTAAGGTTATTCTGATACTAAGGTTTTCGTGTTCATTGAGGTGAATTTCAATGAAGCCAATGTCAATGCAAAACTAATTAGTAATGTCAAGTTGGTTAAGACCAAACACCATGACTCAAGAACGGGATCATGGAATCCAATGCCAGCGGAGGCACCTCCTTAGGGAGCTTCCTCGTGTTGAGGTAATGAATGAGTGATCGCTAATCTTTTCTTCAATGTTAAATGTGATCCTTAAACCTTTTTTTTTGTAATCTAATCATGAAACTTTAGAAATTCACTCAATAACTAGCAAGATGCTGGTGAATTGCATGGGTTTGAAACTATATTTGTGATATTACTCTGAATGTTGGTATCAACATGAATGTTTGCAAAAGTTATAATATCAAGGAAATCATGACAAAATAAATCTTCACATCAATCAAATTTTTTGTTAGAAATTATTCGAAACTTTATTTAAAGTTGATCGGAACCCCATCATGACCATTTGCTGCTAAACACATCCCACCAGCAGCTCCAGCAGCATGCTGCAAAAACATCATAAAATCCTAACAAGAAAACCATTAAAAATAAACATCATATATTATAAGACATTTCGTCCTAAGTATAACGTTAAAAGGCTTTAGCCTCGGAGTTCCCAGGTTATAAAGCAATCAGAGGATATCTCCTCTCTTCCGGGAAGATAAAAATGGGAAGGGAATTGAGGGGCATGAGGGGTGCGAGGAATGCGGGCCTCGACACATTAAAATGAGGTGTGCATCCATCGTGGCGTATCATCTCATCAGTCAAAGACAAAAACGACACACCATCTCATCAACACGCAAAAGCATCACTCTTCCGTTAGGGGATCTCAAAAACTCTCCCCACTTCCTTTTTCTTGGGATGAAACTTTTGGAATGATTCTTAACGTTTGCACTCTTTCCAACTGGAATTGCAGGTAGCCTCACAAAAATTGGTCCAACCTTTCTAATTCAACAAAGGGTCCCAAAATGGGGCTTGTTCTGCGCTCCCCTGATCACATCTTTTTTCACTAGAACGAAGGACATCAGGGAAAAAGTTGACAAGAAGTTGAAAGAAAAGGGCCCCCCCAAAAAAAAAGTTTGATGTGCAACATTCGAGGAATCATGAACCATTTTCCACGTTCCTTTTAGTTTGTTACATTTTTTTATTCTTTTCATTGAAAGTTCTAACACTGTTAGCTGATGTTACCATAATTTCAATTAACTCGACGTATTAAATTAGTCGTACTGGCGTTCGCCTGATTTATGTGTGACTTCCACGTCATCTCCCGCATTATTTTTGTCCAAAAAGAAAGGAGAAAAATGATTTGCTAACTTTAAAAAATCACGTGGCAGTCCACATCAATTTTTTGACCCTTTAAACGCTAACTTGATAGGCTAAATACACTTAACAAAATGACTATATTGAGTGACTTTTCGAAAGTTTAAGTTGTGATTAAACAAAAATAAAGTTCAGAAACTACATTGAACATTGAAAAAGAAAAAGTTCAGATATCACTCATGTTGTATTATGGTACGTTTGAAGGTTTATTTTTATAGAAGAGATTAATTTAGTCAATGCTTTGATAGGTTTGAATATGGAGTGCTCTAGAAAAAGCTACTTGCTAATAACGTAGCTATTGAAATGTCATAATTATTCTACTAGTTAGATTGCCCACACTATGTTCGTAAAAATTTCTTTATTGGTTTGTATACAAATAAAATTGCAAATCTGAACTTAAATCAGAACATGTATACTAAGTTGTACCAATTTCAATAAATGGTGTACAATATCTAATTACAACATCAAATCATAAAAACCTCTAATTCTTTCTTCTCTTGAAGACGATTCCAATCCCGCATTTGGAATTCCCCAGCCTTTCCGTATTTCTTCATCTGCTAGATGTCGAAGAGAAGGAGAGAGGCGTCTTTGATCCCATACTTAAACTAGCTGATTTATGATTTTACATCCATAATATCACATTTAAAAAGAATATCCAGTCTATTTCAGATTTCACTTGGATAAATGTCAATTTAAGTTATATAATTGACTAATTATCGAATAATAGACTAACAAATTACTGGCCACGTTTTTTCCATTCTCTCTATGGTAACAGAGTCTTTTAACAATATTACCCTTTGTTGGTCCCACTTTTTAGTATCCCTTTGTCACTTTTTTTTTTTGATTGATTTCCTATTTCTCCCTAATTCTTCTCTCTCTCTCTCTCTCTCTCTCTCTCTCTCTCTCTCTCTCTCTCTTCTCTCTCAAGAGGCATAGAAATGGAGAATCATGAAGGTCATGTCCTTTTGTTTGCATATCCTAGGCAGGGCCACATCCAAGACGTCAACGAAGCCCTCCTCCTTGGCCACCTCTATCTCCACGGTTATCGATCCGACTCGCTCAACCTCAATGTAGTTCACGCACTTTGCGAGGAAATTTAGCAAATTGGTTGATGTATATTTTCGACAGCTAGATGGAGAGAAGGCAAGGAAATTGATTTTCAGGCTTTGGGAGGTGATGAAATGTTAAGAGAATTTGCTTGTGAGCAAGGCTGTTTTTGCGAATTTCATTGATCCCTTGTGCATATAAGGGTTTTTCAATGAAGTGTTTTAGATTGTGGAGAGAAAGTTTCAAGGCCGTTGCCCTTAGCCTTCCCATCACCCTTCCCAGCTCCTCCTCATCGACGCAAAATCCTCTACCTTTACCGGGCTCATCAAATACGGAATGCACAACCTCCCCACTAATATGCGCCACTCTCCGCGAACATCATCCTTTTGCTGCCATAAAACATGTGGCATAGAGCCTTCACTTAGGCAGCTCGAGAAGGTGCTGTCGTGGGTCAAGAGGACCAGTTCAGTTGCCTCCACCCACACAAGCGTGAAAGTCTCCATTTCTCTACCTTATTATTGTTGTGAGTGATTACATAAGAGAAACGTAAAAAAGGAAGAAAATAAGGAAAGTGAGTCAAGAAAATAAATAGAATATTAATAAAAGAAAAGGGACACAATTGGAAATAATGTAAAAACACTTTCTTAAAAATTTGGCAGAAGGTGGATGCTAAAAAGTGGGACCTGTA